CACACACACACACACACACACACACGGCCCCCAGCCCACACCCCTGCGCCCTGCGCAAACGTGTTCAACCGTTCAATGCGTTCATAACATGAATGCGAAACGGCAATGGAAAGTACTACCATTTCACCCGAATACAACACCCGGTCATTATAGCTGTACTTGGGCCAACTTCCAGTCCAGATACAGCTATTATTCCCGGGCGTTGTACTCGGGTGAAGATGGTAGTGATGATGGCAACCGTTTTTTTTTTTTCCTGTTATTTTCATGTTGTTTATCGTCAATGGCTACAGCTCCTTGAATGAATGATCGCAAATGAAAATCATGATGGTGCAAGGAAAATGAGCAATAGTGAGATGACAATAATCAGATTGCACAATCACATTGAAGGCCAGATAGTATCACAGTGTCCTGAAAGCAGAAATGCACCAATATAACACCAATGAAGATTCGTAACACTGAACACCAATGTCAATGAGAGCTTGCTCTCTCCACCACCAACATGAGTGTCCAGGCCGTATCTCCCTACTAGGCGCTCGGCACCCAGCCTACTTCCTACACAACTACTCTCTGCCTACTAATTGACAATGCAACTGTTGACGTCAGCAGCCTCCGAAGTACTTGAAGATGTCGCCCATGCAGACCGTCACCAATACCAGGTATGTGCCCTCACATCATCATCATCATTATCATCATCATCATCCTTCTCTCTCTCCCCTGTCTTACTTCCACGTCTTCACTCTATACGCCCGAAGACCACCCCTGCACCTCACTGTAGTCCAAGCCCAACCAGCTATGGAGGCTGGGCTATGGCGCTGCCCTCAGCAGTGCCCTGCTCCCTGCACGACCGCACGCGCTAGCACCTCGTCTCTCAGCGCCAGCAGCATCCCACAAGTGTCCGCTCCAGCAGCGCTGGCGCTAGCATGCGAGTGCCTGAAAGAGGCCGCCGGTGGCGAGCTGGCGCTAGCATGCGAGTGCCTGAAAGAGGCCGCCGGTGGCGAGCTGGCGCTAGCATGCGAGTGCCTGAAAGAGGCCGCCGGTGGCGAGCTCTTTCCTATATGGAAAGAGCCTGCCTGCCTTCGCAGCCTGGCTGGACTGGGCCTGGGCCCAGAAGCTTCCGGTAGTAGGCCCCAGGATGCTGCGCTTGTGTTGCAGCTACTGGGCCTCTTTCGGTTGGCCTCCCAACTGTCAGTGTATGAGGCTACGATTCTCGCCCAGGGTCTGCATTCTTGGAAAGGCCCAGAAGGCCATGGATTGTGCTGCTGCTCAGCCTGCGTTTTCCCTCAGCCAACTGGCGCGTCGAAACTGCCTGGACCCCCAAATACGAAATTGACAGCTGACTCAGCTGAGGGCCTCTCGTGATTTGTTAGGCCCGCCTTCACTTAGGGCGGGCACATGTGCAGTAGGGGCCCTCTGAGGCCTGCCGAGGACCCAGATCCTCGCAATGGGAAAACGAAGACTGGAAGGGAATGCATTGAGCCCTGCATACAGTGTGCCTCCTGCCGGGGAGGAAAAAAAAAAAAAAAAAAAAAAAAAAGAGTGCCTCCTGCCAAGAAAGGCGTGCAGTAGGGTGCCATTCCAGCCTCGTATGCAAGAAGGGGGGGTAGGGGGGGAGCTCCAGCTCCTCTAGTACCGCTACCTGTGAAGCATGTCAGTGCATTCAACTTTCTTTCTTTTTTTTCTTTCCTTTTTTCCTTCTTTTAAAAACTAACCTATATTCTTCTCTCGATATATCTCCCACTACCTACCTAGTACCTACCTACACGCAACTTAGTAATCCACTACAGGTTTTTTTTTTTTGGTGCCCAGTGCAGGAAATCTCTCCTAAGTTAAGAACACACAGCTAATCTCTGCTCTGTGGGGAGAGCAGCACCCAAGCTTCTAATACCAGGTGCTGGAAGGCACAAATCGTCGCTTCCCAGAAAGCCAGGAAGCCCAAGCCAATTATCTCCGCTGGAGAACCCGAAGAGTGTATTCACCTTCCTGTCTGTCTGCCTGTCTCTCTTTTTGCACTACCTGTACTCCATCCTTCTTCTTAAGGGTCATCTTGGGGACTTGGTTTCGGGGTTTTGTGATTAGGGTTTCGGGTGTAGGATTAAGGGATTCGGGTTTAGGGTGAAGGGTGAAGGGGGTTGAGGGTTAAAAGGCTGGAGAATTGAGCTGGAGAGAGGTGAAGTGAACACTGGAGACCAGTTTCGCTGTCCCAAGGCTACTTATGCATATGCATCTGTCAATTTATGTTGGCTGAACTAAAACCCAGACTAAAAGGTCTAGAGTCCAGAACAATCAGTTAGGGGGAAGGCCGCACTCAGACCCAGGCCGAAGTATGAATCTAGAGAAAGCAAAAATGTTTGATGAAGTTCAAAACATCGTCTTGAAATTTCCAGGATAAAATAACTGTCCTCTGACTTTGTGTGTGTGTGTGTGTGTGTGTGTGTGTGTGTGTGTGTGTGTGTGTGTGTGTGTGTGTGTGTGTGTGTGTGTGTGTGTGTGTGTGTGTGTGTGTGTGTGTGTGTGTGTGTGTGTGTGTGTGTGTGTGTGTGTGTGTGTGTGTGTGTGTGTGTGTGTGTGTGTGTGTGTGTGTGTGTGTGTGTGTGTGTGTGTGAAATGGTGTGTGCACGTGGACTTGCTTATGCTGTGATAATCAATCGTAGCTGAATTTGGATGAAATGAACTCTGTGTAATGAACCCAGTCTGGATGATACTCGTCAGTTGTCGAGTACAAGTAGTCTCAAAGTCTGCACATGGTCTCCAGTAAACGTGAAGTGGAGGGAGGATAGACAAGGAAGAAGGTGGAAGAAGTAGCTTGTTACCAATAGACGAAGAGAGTGCAGGGAGGATAGACAAGGAAGAAGGTGGAAGAAGTAATCAAAGACTGCACGATAATTAGCCCAACCAGTCCAACTCCTTCTCCGGGCTTCTTCTCCCTCCACGTCATCAATCAATAATAGTAACAAGTCTGAAAAGTTCTGATCACACAGAAGTGCCACGTGGCACTCTTATCTCATGAAGACCATGAAGGCAACAACAGAATATAGTAACGACATCAACCTCAGGTGAATATGTCGTTCCAATCAACCACAGATCCCGATCTCCCTCCTCCTCCTCACAACCAGTCTCCTCATGTAGACAGCGTGGACAATGCCACATCAGCAGTCGAGACAGGTGGCATGCTCCACATCAGCAATGCAGACCAGTGGCAGCGCCACATGAGCATGCAATGTAGACCAGAGGCAGCACCACATCAGCATGCAATGTAGACCAGAGGCAGCGCCACATCAGCATGCAATGTAGACCAGAGGCAGCANAGCATGCAATGTAGACCAGAGGCAGCACCACATCAGCATGCAATGTAGACCAGAGGCAGCGCCACATCAGCATGCAATGTAGACCAGAGGCAGCACCACATCAGCATGCAATGTAGACCAGAGGCAGCACCACATCAGCATGCAATGTAGACCAGAGGCAGCGCCACATCAGCATGCAATGTAGACCAGAGGCAGCGCGACATCAGCATGCAATGTAGCACCAGAGGCAGCGCCACATCAACAATGCCTGGCGCATCAGAACGCGCCGGCATGCCGTCACAGTCCGCGTCATCGTCCACAGTGCCTGCGCACGGTCAGCGTCAAGCCAGCGTCTCGCCAGCGTCGTGCCAGCGTCAATGCCAGCGCCTGGTCAACGTCAAGCCAGCGTCCAAGCAGCATAGCAAGACTGAATGTCGACCTCCTGGAGACCAGCCCTTAAGTAGCATTTGACGAGGCTGTCTGGTCTCGGGTCCCTTCCCCACAGTCGTCCAGATTGACTCCCAGCTGAGGGCCTGGATTGTATACAGTTGCAGACTTCTCTTTGGACCTGATGCTGTTCGGGTACCTGCATACAAACAAATGTGTGTGTCTGACTGGCGGCCTGGGCTGGGTACACTTTGACTTTGACTGTTGGTTAGTCCGACAGTTGACTTGGTCAACTGTATCTCGTCCAGGCCCTGAATCTTTCCATGGGGTATTTTCCCTCTTCGGTCTGGGTCTGAGTGCGGCCTGTGGCCCTCAACTTTCCACGAGGCATACAGCATGGGTTATTGCATCTGCTTTGAATGTTTTGGACCTGGAAGTCTCCACCTTTTTCTGAATAACGAAATGCAACAGAAAAAAAAAATCCGACAAGAAATGTAAGATAAGTTCTTTTGATTTTTAAAATTATCATGCAAACATTCTAAACTAGAAAATCTCCTTACAATTTTTAAATTGTTTGTGTCATTTGAAAAGTCATGTTTAAAAATGCTTGTTTTTTCCGTTACGTAATGACTTTTGAAGTCTGAGAATCTTTTCTGTTGTGGATTTGAAATTTTGAATGCATGGTTGTTGCAGGATAAGTGGTACGGATGATGCGAGGATTGTATATGCGGACAAGTGGTTTAAAGCACATATAGAAGATGGAATGAACGTTCTCAAAAAGCCTCTGTTGCTCGAGGAGTTTGGTTGGATGACAGATATTCCAATGCGCGACCTATTATTCCGTCAGGTTTATAGCTATAGTCTAAATGCAACGAGATCGGGTTTTAGCTGCGGCACCCTATTTTGGACATTTGAGGACAGTGATGGCAGTTGGTACGTGAATTATAACACACACGCTTCAACTCTAAGTATCATAAAGGAGCACAGCGACAATCTGCAGAAGCTCCCGAAGTAAAGTAAAGTAAATCACTCCGCCATTTAAATGTACTGCTAATGCGGATGTATTGATTCATACCGACGTGTGGATTCGAGTTTTTTTTGTTGTTAATAAACGCTGAACAGACATGGATTGTCCACTTTTACCATGAAATCAAATGCTTATGAAATTATGATTAAGCCGACTCTGCTTCCCACGTATAGACGATCTGTAGCGGCGAAGGGCATATAGAATAGTAATGCTCCAGCTGGAACAATAAGATGTTGAAGTTATATCTTGATTCGTTTCATGGATTGTTTATGCTCAACTTTTCCAGGTGGAAGGACCGTTTCGTCAAAATGGAGTTTTTTTTTTTTTTTCAGTGACCAAATTAGGTTGCCGAGATGCGGCCCAAAAAAATGCCCAAAACTCTCTTTTGATGGTCCTGCGTTCTCGAATGTACTTGGACTGCAGTCACTACACTAAGTAGCTATGTAGCACATCCGGATATCCGGCAGACCAGTTTTATCCGGATTTTTTTTCAATCCGGATGAAATTTCCAGATGAATTCCGGATAGGTTGGCTCAGAGGTTGTCTCAGAGGTTGTCTCAGAGGTTGGCTCAGAGATAGGTGACCATGGAGGGTTAAGAAAGATCCACCTGTGCCCCCCGGTGGCTCTCTCCGACACCTTGCCAGCGTAAAGGATAGGACTGGACTAGGGTGAAGGCCACCATGGGACGCTGGACCTGGTTTCCAGCATGATCATCTGTTCTGAAGATTTCATGGTAGTTATGGGACGCTGGACCCGGTTTCCAGCACGATCATCTGTTCTGAAGGATTCATACCAAAGGTTTCAAAAGATGTAATTATGGGACGCTGGACCCGGTTTCCAGCAGGTGACGCTCCCCACCAATAGATGGAGCAATTGAAAAAAAAAAGGAAAATCCGTCCCTCTATGCAAAATAGGTTTTTTTTAAAGGAAAAAAAATATTCAAAAAAATCTGGGAAAAATGTATGTTGGTCTAGGCTACCAGCCAGGGCGCCCGGGTCACCTTGTTTGCCTGGGTGGCCTGGCCGTGCAAGGACCAAAGACGGTCCCAGCAAAAAAAAAACAAGAAAAAACATAAAACCCCAGGCTACCAGCCGGGCCACCCGGGTCACCCTGTTTTCCTGGCCATGCAAGGACCAGGGAGGGTCCCAGCAAAGAAAAATTAAAAAAAAATAAAAATAAAATAAAAATAAAAACAAAACTATGTTATGCAGAAAAATAAATTGAACAATGTTTGCCTCACGGTCACATCGACATTCTGTACCAATTTTTTTTTTTTTTTCTTGTTTTGGCCCAGCCGGGCAAGTGGTCCCGGGCCATACCTGGGTACTCGGTTCTACCTCCGCAGTAGGAGGGCAGTAGAAAGCGGGATGTGGGGTTTGGAGGGAGTGCCACGGCTACCACGGAATCTGAGGGTTCCACTACCCCGAGTTAGGGGCAAAGTCTAGGCTTGTCTCTGGGCTAATCGTTGAGTGTTTATCAGAGGAATGTTCCTCTGGCCGGCTTCTCCCGTAAGCGAAACTGGGTAATGCTCCCGGAAGTTACTGTTCCCCGGGTAGACTGTGAGGACCCGGCCTCATTTGATCATTCTGAAATTGTAAGGCAAAGTTCATTTAAAAAAAAAAAAAAAAAAAAAAAAAAAAAAAAAAAAGTGGTCCCGGGCCACTCTGGTAGCCTAGATAAAATCTGGAAAAAAAAAATGTTATGCAGAAAATAAACTGAACAACTTCTGCCTCAGGATCACGTCGAACTTCTCTACCGAATTTAAAATAGAAAACAAGGTTACAATTTTTTTAGGGATAATTTGCGAAATACCCCTATAAGTTGAGATATATGCCAAAATGCCCCAAAAGATCTGGGTAGAGCGTACTCCTCTGACACAAAAAATGCTTTGCGAAATGCCGCTGGCACCCCTACCGGGTACTGTCCATGTTTGCAAAATGTCCCAGTACTTGCCAACTTTTCCCAGGTCCTTTGTATTTTCATTTTATCAACTGTGGCCCAGGTCACGCTAACAGGTAAGTCTCCAACCCCGCGGCTGGCCTCATGCTACTTCCACCGATAGGATAAGCAAAATTGAATGAATCTTTCGTTAGAACATGGAATATACACAAGTACACTTGTGTGTGTGTGTGTAAGTAGCATTAGGCCAGCCGAGGGGTTGGAGACTTACCTCTTGGCCAGAATGTTGCTCATCCTATCGATTGAAAACTCTCTCTCTCTCTCTCTCTCTCTCTCTCTCTCTCTCTCTCTCTCTCTCTCTCTCT